AGCTGTAGGAAATTAATGGTAAAACTCTCTATATAAAAATTGCAGGTATTATCACATTAAACGGCTTGTGTTTAATAATTGATTTAATGAGATTGGTTAGCGCTGTTCTACAGGTTATACTATGATTGTCCTGTTCTATTCATTATGAAGAATATCCTTCAGACAACAAATCAGTCTTGACTGGAAACACAACAGCTAAGGAATTACTACACTATGATCACTATAGCTCAAATAATTCATACACTGTGCTAATTTTGCTAAAGACAAATTGTATTAGCTCATGTAAATTAAGCCATACAGGTAAAAATATAAATGCAAATCTTGTGATAATCAAATTAAATTCAGTTAATAGAAAGATAAGTATACATTAATAGATTATAATATAAGGATGCTGGTAGATTTTTAAGCAGCTAAAATAGATCAGTCAATTTTGACTAACAACACAAAGTTAGCTAGCATGAAACGAAGAGCAGAAGGGATAATAAAACCTCTAACACAGACAAACAAAACAAACAAAAGTAATTAACATCAACCTAACACAACAGAATGGTTGAATCAAGTATAATTATATGTTAGCTGAAGCCAAAAGGTATAGCCTTTAGTTAGATTTTCCAAAAAACATGACTTTGCAGTAATCAGCTAACAGCTAGTAGCTACAGTAATCAGTTCTTTAGTCAAAGCTGAATCATTTTTACCACATCACATTAAGACTTACTTTGGACATTTTAAGAACACATCTATGAAGATTGTGGTGTATGGACATGGGTCCAAGTAGGTTAAGGTGACCAGGTTTCCGAAATGAAAATCGGGGACATTTTTTAGCGCGGTGGTCAAAATTTGTTGTTTATTCATTTCGTTATCGTTATGAAATGAATAACAGGGGCAATTACATGTTAATGTATTTTGACAAATGAGTAGCCAATGAGAAGTTACCCTTAACCCTTCAAACTGTTAACCAATATGAAGAACTTGGATTCTGATTTGACTCTGATTCTTCTTCTTATTATTATTATTATCATTTATAGTTCTTTTTTCTTTTAGCTATTTCAATCAACTCATGGGAGCTTGTCAACATGTGCACACTTCCACTCGTGACTTCAGCCATATTTCACAGCAAAGCATTACATGAGAGGATTTACACTTACGCTGTGCACTCCTTGTGATAGAAAGTCAGAACAAACTCTGAGTGCAACCTGCACGCTGCTTCCCCCTGTAAGGACGGTGCCCCTAAAATAAAGAAGGAGGCGCTCTCCAGCTGGCTCCCCGTCACCACCTGCAGCTGCACAGACGAGCAGAGGAGCGCTCTGCTGTTGTGGCGTCGATGTGCCGCAGCACAGCGGGAGCAGCCCGCGTGTGTTTTATAAAAAAAAGCAAACAAAAAGAGACCAGCCGGTCGACACAAGCCATTTACCGCGCACGTAACGTCAGCACGTTAGTTAAACTGGTTTAACCCTATGGTTTAACCATAATAACTGGAGTGTGCATCCATACGCAACTTTTTTTCTCCCCCATTCAAATCGGGGACATTTTCGGGGACAGCTTTAACCGGGGACAGGTCGGCCAAATCGGGGACTGTCCCCGAAAATCGGGGACGTCTGGTCACCCTAAAGTAGGTTTTAGAGTTCCTCAAATAGTTTATAGTTGATCAAATAGTTTATCCAATCACTCTCTACCAGGCGAGCTCAATCAATCAAATGACTAGAATATTTAATACAGTGACAATATTTAGTTTTGTTGAAAATGGTGTTCTAATATTATTTCAAGGGGACTGACAACTTATACGTATATTATAGTTGAATAAAATAGGCTGTATTTGTTTTACACAAGAAATGTTTAAGTTAAATAATGTATAAATAATTTATTATGCCCACCCCTTTTACATCCATTTCATGCTATTGTTGGCACACGTCATACATTTCTTAATGTAGATGACTGATTATACCTGCTACAGTTACATATCATATATTGCTGGATTCAGCACAGTCAGACCTTTCTAACAAATCCTGGTTGGTGTGTCTGAGACACTCCCAGCCAAAGCTAACTTAAAGTAAATGTATACATTCAACATAGTCCCTCATATTTAATACTTCCGCCTATTGTACTTCTGTGTTTGTAGTACTGTATTTCCTCAGTGCATCAAGATATCCACATTCTCTTTTTCAGACATGTAAATGGGCCCCCTGTCCACTTCCACACCAAATTTGGGATCAATCAGAGCTTAGATTACAAAATTACATGGGTTAAGGTGTATTGTCTCCCATTCGGCCTGACTCTAATTCGGCCTGACTTTAAATTTGGGGCGTGCCACTATATCTCTCAATTTAACCACTTTTGCAGTAAAATATTTTTATACAAGAATCTATTTCATATATGGGAGACCTTGGAGAATATAAAAAACATTGTTGTGCTTTGTTCTACCTCCGGTAGGGGTATCTCCACATTTTGGGTGACTTCCCACTAGCCTAACAAACATATCAGTTCTCGTGAACATAATCCCGTACTAGTACCATCCCCACATACCCTCCCCTGGGACCAAGAGTACAAGGAGAAAAAAAAAAAAAAAGATCCAGTGCTGTATAAGTGTAACATCAATGGGCTAGTCAGACAGGTCGACAAGAGAGAGGACCAAGATAACATGATTAGTTACAGATTTAACTTCTTTACATACTCAATAAGGGGAGACCACATTCTGGTATATGTGTCACAAGAGCCGTTCAGTGTGTGTCTTATCTTTTCTAACTGAAGTAGAGACAGCACCTCCTGAATCCATCTCCTGAAGGGTGGGCATTTGTTAGATTTCCAATTCAATAAAATCACCCTGCGAGCTATAAGGCTACAGAATGCTATAGCTCTCTTTTGTATATTAATGGTACATGTTTCTGAGGGTGTGACTCCAAATAAAGCAGTGAGTGGATTGGGTTTGAGGGGTGTGTTGCATAGAACTGATAGACAGTCGAAAATGGAGGACCAGAAATCAACTAAGGAGGTACAGGACCAAAACATATGGCCCAGTGACACTTGGTTGCCACACCTGGGACAGGTAGGGAGAACAGACAAGTATATTTTAGCTAGCCTATCATTGGAGTAATGTAACCGATGGAATACTTTGAACTGTATCAACCCGTGCCTTATACATATAGAGGAGGTGTGTATGTTGGAGATACATTTAGCCCAGACATCATCCAGTATCACAGTTTCCAGATCCTGTTCCCATGCTTTACGCGTTTTAGTGTGCGGAGAGAATTACTTTAATCCATTAGCTTACACTGTGTTCCAAATTATTATGCATATACTGTTTTTGTTCTTTTTCTTACTAAATAGTCGATATAATTGGCAGTCAATAGGATTTTTTATTCCTCAACAATTATATCATAATCTGGATTTTTTTAAACACAATTACCAATGACATTTCTTGCAAAATAACTCAAAATGCAGTGTTCCAAATTATTATGCAAAACAGAGTTTCAAAACACTTAAGTTTCTAAAGGATTGAAAACCGAAATCTGTTGTATTTTTTGCATTAGAGGGGATCATTTTTCTCAAATTAAAGCTATTTAAATCAAAAACATCTTTAAAGATCGAGTTACATATTAACATAGGAGCCCTTCTTTGATACCACATTAACAACTCTCTCATCCATTGAACTTGTAAGTCCATGTACAGTTTCTGCCTGTATTTCCTTTGAGGATGCCAGAGTTGCCTCCCAGAGCCGCTGTTTGAAGTAAACTGCCACCCACCCTCATAGAGCTTCCTTTTAAGGATGCTCCACAGGTTCTCATTAGGATTGAGGTCAGGAGATGATGGTGGCCACACCGTGATTGTTTCTCCCTTAATGCCCATAGCAGCCTAGGCCTCAATGGTATTTGTTGCAGCATGGGATGGTGCATTGTCTTACATGAAAATGATTTTACTCCGGAAGGCATGCTTCTTCTTTTTATACCATGGCAGGAAATGGGCAGTTAGGAACTCCACATATTTTGCAGAGGTCATTTGACACTTGACACCTTTAGGCACCTTAAACGGGCCTACCAACTCACTTCCCATTATTCCAGCCCAAAACATCCCTCCACACCCCTTGCGATGTCGCACTTTTGGGATATGGTGGCCATCCAGAACTCCTTCCATCTGGACCATCCAGTGTAGCACAGCATTCATCAGTGAATAAAACTGTTAGACAATTAGTCTTCATGTATTTCTGAGCCCACTGCAATCATGTCTCCTTGTGGGCATTGTTTAAGGGTGGCCGAAATACAGCTTTATGCACATCAGCAAGCCTCTGGAAGATCCTGTGTCGAGAGGATCTTGGGACTCCAGAGTCACCAGCAACTTCAAATACCTTTTTTACAACTCTTCATTGGCTTTTTCACAGCTGCTCACTTAATACGATGAATTAGCCTTACAGAAACTTTCCTTAACACGCCTTTATCTGAACGAACCCTGTCTGCGCTCTGAATCAGACACAAATCTTTTCAGAGGACAATGATCTCTCTTAATACTTAGTAAAATATCCAGTGGTTTCATACCTTTTGAAAGATACTGCACTATTTCACACTTCAGAATCTGCAGAAAGATATTTTTTTCCCCCTATATTGCATGAAACCTGTAACTTGCTTAATAATGTGGAACAACATCCTTAAGTAGTTTCCCATTAATTAGGCTCACCTGGAAAACTAATAAAGACAAACCTGTCTGAGATTGATGTCAGTGATCTAAACAGACATGGGAACACAATCGAAAACTTTCATTGACATTGTTTTTATTTTTTATAATTGAAATCATATTTGCATAATAATTTGGAACACAGTGTATATGGAAGAAAGGTTAAAACTTGTGAAAACAACCAAACCTTGTACATGAAGGAAATCAGCTTTTAAGTACACAAAAGAGAAAATATTTCATCATTAATGTGTAAAAATGATCCAAAAAGATGGTGGCTGTGCCATGAAAACCTGGGTTCAGCTCCTGTGTCCAGCTGTGGTTGATTGCTATTCTTCCTCCAGCACCATCTCCTGGAACCTGGTGGCCAGCTACTATGAGGATCTGCCATTCGGCAGAGACGGGTTAATGACAGCTGAGGAGCCCTGGAGCGGCAACTATGTTGTGGAGTCCCCTATCTGGATCACAGGTCTGCATTACATTGTGCACTCAGAAGAGAGATACTGTGCAAGTATGTTATGTCTGCTGATCTTAACAGCACAGCAGAATGTCAAATAGGACATTGAACATTCCAAGTTGCTACTGAAAATAATGCAAATGGCTTTTAAAAAGAGTTAATTCCAACTAGAAACCTGTTTCTCCCTCAGATAGTTAGCTAAAATCACACAAATATGGCACTGACATGTTTATAAAGACAGACATTTCTTTGTTCTAAATATGTTTCAAAAATAAATGGAGAAAGTATTGTAGAAAAGCAAAGGTCAGTTGTCAAACAAGAAAATGAAGTTATAAGGTACAGTATGAAGGTTAGCTGTGTGTAGTGTGGTTCCAAAGCGTATAGCATGCAGTTGGACGAAGACAGACCCCCTTGGCCAATGTTTAATAATATGACTTCCATTTCTCTTTTTAATTGGCATCCACACAATTTATTATTCAGTAAGATAGACACAGAAACCACAATCTATAGAGTTACTGCACGCCGAATTTTCTGTAAATGACTTTGTCATGATGTCAACAGGTTACAGTTACTAACTGCTGTGGCTGACTTATCAGAGTTATCAGCAGTGGTTTAATAAATCAATGTATTCACTGTTATTTTCATCACAGCCCACACCACACAGTTCACCCAGCCAGGATGGACCTACCTGCAGACTGTTGGACATCTGGCACAAGGCGGAAGTTACGTAGCCCTGACTGACGGGACAGGAAACCTCACTGTTGTCATTGAAACAATGGCAAGTTGGGATTTCCTGTTTCCATTTTTACTTTTACATTTTTCTACAGAAGCAAATTGCTGCCATGCCAGAAAAAAAATTGTCAATAAAAATAAACAGATAAATGCCACATGTCGAAGTATCCTTGAGCAAGATACTGAACCCTGAATTGCTCCTGATGCTGTGCATCACTGAGTGAATGTGTGTGAAAGGGTGAATGTGGCACGTAGTGTAAAAGTGCTTTGAGTGTTTGGAAGACTAGAAAGGTGCTATACAAGTACAGGTCCATTTACCATTTACCATCTTGTTTCGTGTTATAAAATGAAAAGCTTCTTGTTATAAGAAACGTGCCATTGATAGGTTAGCTGTTTTTCTCGTATGACAGCAATATGCTGCTGTAGTTTCCTCCCCTGCCTCTGTAATTTAAAATATTTGTCTAGAAATTATCTTATGAAGTTCTGAAGGATGTAGCTGTACAGATGATTAAAACAACAAAACTAAGTTTTTAGGTTTCAGTGTTCAAGTTTAGCTTGAAGTTGTGTTTCCAGCTGTTTTATTACTGTTGTTACATTTACTACACTGATACTCTAAAACTGCTCTTGAGATATATGAATGTCTGTTTTCTACATTTCCTTTACAGACTCATGATCACTCAGTGTGCATAAGACCTCCACTACCTCCCTTCAATGTGACATCCCAGAATGCAACTTTCCAGCTCCAGGGATCCTTTGTAAGTTCCTCTGAGGTCTTCATCATACCGCTGAGTTAGTGAGTGATACCTACTGTTGTTATCCATTGTTATTTATTTTTCCTAGGCCTCCATCAAGGAACTCCAAGTGTGGCGGTCGCAGTTTAACTTCAAAACAAAAAAGCCCTCCTTCTTTGAGAAACTAACTCCACTGAAGGTAAAATAAGAAGTTAGAAAATATGCTTCCTACATTAAATCATGGCACCAATAGTTTTAACATGTTTATGATTATTTCAGCTTGTTGATGGATCCTTCACCTTAAACCTAGCTGAAGATGAAGTTTACACTTTAACCACGATTACAACAGGACAGAAAGGAAGTTACCCAGACCCACCCCCTTCCGCCCGCTTCCCTAAAGTCTACAAGGACAACTTTGACATCCGTAAGTACAGCATGCACGGAACCCAAATGATTTTTGTTTGGTCATTGAATTCTTGGTGTGTAGGATTTAGTGCCATCTAGTGATGAAGAGCAAGAACAGGTGTACAGGGCACAGAGTGGGACTGACAGGGGCACCATTCACCCAAAATCAGTTTAGCATCAAAATGATTTCATTGTAAGGTAGAAAGATGCATAATGTTAATTCAGAAAAGAAGAAAAGAATCAGTTATATCAAGACAAATGATTTCATTCAAACCACAAGCTTTCTCAAAATTCCTGACCTGATTTATTTTCTTTATTTCCTCATGTACTGTGACCTGGTATTTTTGAAACATTGGAATAAAAGGTCTTAATAGTCTCCATCCATCTTCCCATATCTCTGTATTTGACCTCCTGTAGGAAACCCCCCCTTCTCGGAGGCTCCGGACTTTGCTGACCAGACAGGGGTGTTTGAGTACTACATCAACCTGACTGACCCTGGACCTCACGTCTTTACCTTACGACAGGTTCTGACGGAGAGACCCGTCACATGGGCAGCTGATGCCGACCAGACCATCAGCGTCATAGGAGACTACCAGTGGTGAATATAACTTGGCAAACATGCTAACTTAAAGCTAAAAAAAAAAACTTTTTTTCATATTTGCAATCAGATTTTTTCCTGCTAGCTGTCAGGACATAAATTCACTATATCCTGACAGTAGCACATGAGACAGATAATCTGTGAAACAATCAGGTTCCTCTGGTTCTTCGTAATGACATTTTTATAAAAGTTAACTACTGCAGCTTTAACTGTCTAAAACCTCGTATTGTGCAAGATTTTTATCCAACATAATCTCACACTGTTACGTTACAGGCACGACCTGACGGTTACATGTGATGTCTTCATGGAGAGCGTTAAGACCGGTGGGGTCTTCATAGCAGCCAGGGTGGATAAAGGTGGCCAGTCAATCCGCAGCGCTAATGGAGTCTTCTTCTGGGTGTTTGCAGATGGCACATACAAAGTTACCAATGATCTCGGTCAGTACTATCACCCTCTGCTTCATTATTAAAAATATTGTACCGGGTTGGGTAGGTGTCATTGCTGTTTCTCTTATCAATGTGTGTTTGACCAACAGCTGGACAGACTGTACTTGCAGAGGGACAGTCTGGTACCCGAGCATATGGTTGGCACACCTTATCACTCACTGTGAAAGTAAGTTGAGACTCCATGTCTTAATGTTCGAAATGTTTCATACTGACACTCATTCATTTGTCCTTTTAAAGACTAGAGAGCTTGACTGCAACCAAATCAAGACTGATGGGTGCTGATGAGATTAGATTAGAATTCCAAATTGGAGCCTTTTTACTTTATCACCTCCTCAATTGACCCTTCTGGAATCCTGTCCCTTTTTTGGTCAGAACCTCGGTCAACTTTCTCCTTTTCTTTAAGCAATAGGTTTTTACCCAGGAAGCGAAGTCATGACCCGCCCTACTCTGCCTCTGATTGGCTAATTCTGACCGTTTTATTATTATGTTATTGGTAATATTAGCAAAAGGCTAGCTAACTAGCTAGCTAATTTAAATTAATGGTTATTAAAGGATTTGATAACATTGGGTAACTTAAGAGGTGGCTATGTCGTATTTATCTTTTAACCATCTTCAAAATGTGCAGGAGGAAATTGACCAAGGTTCTGACTGAGTCTTGCTCAGTTGTTATTGGTGCACAGAACAAAAAGGGGTGGGACTAAGGAAGGGTCAGCTGAATCACTTAAATTCTTTAAAGCCTGGACTCAAACATTGTACATGCTTTTAGTGGAAATTATAGTTTATCAGAAACTCTGTCCACTCTGGGTTGTAGATGGTGGGAGAAGCTAGAAAAGTCAATTTTTTGCTGTGGTATTACGTACCTGTGCTTTCCAATCAAAACAATGTGGCACACGAATAGTCTTTGAACTGATTAGGCGATTGGATCGGTAACCATTTTAATTGATTTATTGTTTATATGTTTAGTTTAAAGCAAAATAGCATATCAACAGCTCCTGTAATGTGAATATTTGCTGTTTGATAGTAAAATAAGTCAACTTGGGCTCACAATTTCAAATGGGCATTTTTCAATATTTTTGACATTTTCTCAAGAAAACAATCAGCACATTAATTGATAATTAAAATAGTCATTAATTGCAGTGAAGCATTATTTTGATTAATATCTTAGTTTATGTAGAGAGCTCATAGCTTTTCCTGATTAAACTTCTGTTGCCATGTTGTACATGTCAGATCACACTGTAAGTCCCACAGGTAAAGACACATGAACATAAGCGAGACTGTTTCCATAAATTGACTCAGGTTTTGCTGGTTGCTGAGCTTTGTATGAACTGAATGGGCCTGCGGTGATTGGCTGCTAATGGTTACAGTGTAATCACATGCTAACTGAACCTGTCACACCCATGTGACTGACTCAGGATGAGGATGTCTATAAAGAGTCATACTGTATCTCATAAAGTGGATATGCATATATACTCAAACCATTTGCTGACTCACTGTGCCCCCGCTCTGCTGCAGGGCCAGTACGCCTTGGGGCAGCTGAATGGATACCCTCTGTGGAAGAACGCTGTGGTACTGACTCCAAAGAACGGCTGGGCAGCCATAGGAACGCGCTCATTTGAACTGGCTCAGTTCGATAACTTTGCTGTGGTGGCAGGATAAGGATTCTACTGTGAAATAATCATTTACACTGTGCAGTGAATATTGTGATTAATTTATTGACTTGTTCAAAGCATTGATTTTAACACGATAGGTGCAATTTTTTTTTTCTCTTTATGAAAAGGTTTTACACAAGAATTAAGGGAACAAGAGGTTATATAATGTAACAAAGCACTGCACCCTTGAAAGTTCTTGTCTGATATATTTGTTAATGATTTTGCACTGTCTGGTTTTTATGGAATAAAGAGATTTTTATGTTTTTGGGGAAAGATGGTCTACTTTACATGTACTGATAGATGTAAAACTAAAGTACAATCATTATCCTATTGATCCAGGCACTTGTATGAGAAGGTGATTTCTAAAAATTACTTTTAAAGCTGCAACTAACTATATTTTTAAATTGACAATGGATCAAATAAAACGTAATGTGAAAGCAGTCACCCATAAAAGACAGTTATAACCAACTTTGTAATGCAGTTCCACTCGCACTGAGATATTTCAAGCTCTTTTAGCTCATTGTTTTGGTTTTACAGCTTGCAACTTCACTGTTTGCTCCCTACTCTCATCAGCCTTGGTGTCCACCAGCAGGCAGCTGTTCTCAGTGAGAAAGCTCATAAACCCACTGCCTGCTCAGAGGACACACACAGACTACAAACGGTGGAAAGCATCAACATATAAAAGATGGATGTTGAATCTTCACTTTACAAAAATGAAACATAATATCCCGGATACGGTCGCTGCCAACTTTCGCCACTTGGAGCCAGAGTGCGCAGAAGTGATCACTGACAGGTGAAGTGAATAACACTGTCAGTGGGTGGGATGTATCAGGCAGCAAGTGAACATTCTGTCCTTAAAGTTGATCTGTTAGAAGCAGGAAAAATGAGCAGAGACTTTGAAGTAGTGAACAGAATACAATGCTTTTATCCCACTGTATATCTCCTTGTTTCTTTTAGATGAGAACTGGCCAGCCTTGTGGACTGAGAGTCAAGCTAGGGAATTTAAAAACACTTTAATTTACTTGTTTACTTGAGTATTTACATTTTATGCTACTTTATAGCATAAAATGTAAATACTCAAGTAATGGATCAGTTAATGCTACTTTATACTAGAAGTATAAAATAGCATAAAATGTAAATACTCAAGTATTACTCCACTACTCAAATACTCCACTACATTTCACAGAGAAATATTGTACTTTTTAGTCCACTACATTGATTTAACAGCTTTAGTTACTAGTTACTTCTCAGATTAAGATTTTATATAGAAAACATGTGATCAGTTTATTGGCTTGTGTTGCTTATAATAAATTGTGTATAATACATACCCAGCCTTTCAGAATGCTTTCAGTTATGTGTGGATGCATGTAGCGGACTCAGGGCTCTATCTTGCACTCAGCCCAATTGACTTTGTACACTGGCGCTTGTATAATTCCTGTTTTGCACTCGACGCACATTGGAATTTTCCCTCCACCGACGCACGTCCTTAAATTAGGGAATGAACTTGCGCTCCGGGGGGCGGTTCAGTGAAAAGAGGAGGCGTGTTCCGGCGCAAACGTTCCCTGGTGCTATTTTGCTGTTTCAGAAAACAATTCCGCCACAGACCAGGAAAACCCTAGTCTAAAGTCAGTGGCGCTTATTCAGATGCTATTTAAAGGGCGCAGACTTGAGGGGATGTGCCTGAGAGGCAGCAGCAACATCGCCACCCGGTCAGGACGGGCATTAATACTTTGCCGCATCCCGGACAGCTCCCGCTCCAGCATGTCAAACCCGGTTTGCTGCAGGAACTGGTGGTCCTCCGGCGTGTAGTGGGTCTGGATCCTCTGCACCTTGGTGTTTGCACTGCTCCCTCCTCAGCTGGCCCTTGCGCACTGCTCTCAAGGCCAGGGTCTTCTTCCTGTGAAGCTGCGTTACATTGTTTTGATTTATTGTATGGCTGTGTTACATTTATTTCATGTCAATAATGCCACTTCTCTGTATTTTACGGCCCTGACGAGAACGTCGGTCTCCTCGGCTGTGAACCGCTCCTGGCGTGCGCCTGGCCAATCCGCCGTTATAATGGCAGTCCGCCATGGAACAAGCGCGCCTGCTTTTAAAGGGAATGTGAGATGACGCTCTGATTGGTTTATTGCATGTTACGCCCAAACTACACCTATGAGTAATGTAACTACTTCAGACCAACCCATTTTAGATTTAGTCATTTATCCCACCTTCATAATAGCAACAGTGCCGAGATCCGCCCACAAAGCTACTTGCGTTTTGCGTTTGATACTTGCGTTTCAGATCGTTAAGATAGAGCCCTCAATCTGTTAGTGAGTGTGGTGGTGCTTGTGGGGTGTCGGTCCGGGACGTGTGTGTTCGAGGCTGGGAGGGAATCATCACAATATACCCGCTACAATAAACTACACCACTGGATATAGAGAAATATGAAATATGACAAAAAGTCAGTTTGATAAAAGTGACCTCCTGCAGATTGAGGTAAAGTGAAGTGATACAGGGCTGTTAACGTTACTTGTAACAGAGTATTTCTGCACTGTGGTACAAGTACTTTGACTTCAGTTATGTTCCACCTCTGCGTTGAGGCCTATGTTAGAGTCCACAGGGTGTTTGTGTCACGTTCTCCAGCGGAGGACCCCACCGCGTGCTGCGAAGACGCTGGCGTCGCAGGCACGAGAGGGCCATCCCCATGGCAACGGGACACCAACAACACTTACCTTACTTCCAGCTGTGGACAGGCTGGCGGAGCCCAGAATGGAGAGACTTAAACAATCGCCTAAAAGAGTTTTTATTAACAACGTAGACTCATACGCTTCAAAATGTATTTCCAAGGTAAATATATTTGATGGTGGAGCTCAGAATGAAGCTAGTCGAGCTGCTAGCTTGCGTTAATGTGTGCTAGCTAACAGCTACTGAGCAGGACGTTGAACTAACGTTACTGCAGCACACGCCGATATGAAGGCCGTGGACAGCTTTAACGTTAGTCACTGACATAAGTTAGTTAACGTTAGTTAACGTTTGCATCTCCCTGTGTCGCAGTTCCTTTCACAATGTGCGCTCGGAGCGCCTGTTGATGCTGAAGGAGAGATGGAGACTGAGGAAGAGGAGGAGGAGGGAAGAGTGGGTTCAAAGCAGAGCGGAGAAGGAGCTTTTCACGTTGTTGGGACTGTCTCTGAGGAACCTGACGAGGGCAGAGCTTATGTGCTGGAGCAGTATTCAGTGAGTGCTTCATCATTCAGAACCGTCCACTAGCACACATTGTCTGATGTCTCATATTTCTTGTTTGTGTGCCAGAAACTGAACAGGGAGGAGCTACTTGCAAAACTGATGAGTTGTGATGTTGTTATTTACAACATTACCCAGCATGCCGATCAGGTAGAAGAAGCCTCCTGGGCTGTTTCAGGTAAGCAGTTGATGGCTGTGCCGCATGTGACGGTGAAAAAAAGATTCTTGAAGTCATTATAATGAGAAACTTTCTCAAAGTAATGACATGGTATCTCAAAATAATGAGAGTGTCTCAATATTTTGACAGTATGGAACACAGTGTTTAATATTCCTCCCTGTCAGAAAGACAAATACTACCTGAATGAATCTTAGATAATATTAATTTCTGAGTGTAATATTGCTTTAACTGTATTAGTTTGTACTTTACTTTCTGCTATTTATTATACTGGTACGCTGGCTGCATTAAGAACTCTTTTTGTACCTCATATTTTAACCAATTTGAAAAATGGATGGAATCAATGGATTTTTGCGTAGCTCTGCTTGTACCTTATGAACTGCAAAGGAAATAAATGATGATGATAGATGATAATAAAAATGATAATAGAACAGATTGTCAGCAGCCAACACGTGAGCAAAACCTGAAAATGATTGCAGTGGTAAACAATAATTAGATGTAATGACACCATAATTAATGAATCAGTCAATGACATGTGTTTTCTTTGTAGCCCTCCACAATGAAATGAGCCATTTTTCTAAACCGAAGATGTTCATCCTTGTCTCCACGGTGATGACCTGGGCTTGCAGCAAGTCAGTCGATCCTGTAAGTAGACACATACAGTGCCTCTGGCCAGCCTCATGTTATCTTTTTGTGTAACATGGATCTATTTTTCTGACCAACAGCCACATAACCAAAATATGTTCAAAATCTGATTCCTCACTCTAGAAAATGTTTGTATTTTAAAAATAGGTTAAGTAAAATTATTTACTTTATTTTCTGTCAGTAATATTCTGATATAACTTCATACATCTGAATAATCTGTAAGCAGTAATTGCCTTTTTAGTAACCACATCATTTATCTAACAATGTGTCACTTATTTATTACAGTAAACCAAATTAATGAATGTTTATTTGTAAGTGTTCCAGGTCTGTTTGCCCACCAACCCTGGCCATATCAGATTTATGTTATGTTATAACAGGATGATGATCCTTTCACTGATGAGATTTTCTGGAGAAGGAGAGCACATCCCAACTTCAAACAACACACTGACCTGGAGAAGAGGGTGGCCAAAATGGGCAAAACTGTTAGTTTCACATTCAACTAAATTGTTACATTTCATACAGGAAACACATTCATTCTGACATACAGCAGCTATGACCCTGTCACATGGTTGTTGCTTTTAGAACATGAAGTTGTTCTCAACATACGTGGTGGCGTCGGGACTTCAGTATGGGATGGGAGAGCAGACCTTCCACTTCTTTTTCAAGGTGAGGTTTGAAAACTGCTGTAGATTGATGCTTTGGCTGCCAATCAGATCCATTTTTATTTCCCCAGTATACATACATCTCTATCACTGAAATCACAGAAATGTAATTTTGTCATAGTGTTCATTTTCAGGAGTGTTTACTGTTAAGTGTAGGCACATATGTTTTACAGCTTTCTCTTCCATGTAGCTGCCAGTGTTGCTGTTTGTTTGTATGTAGATATGCTATATGCTAGGCTAATCGATGTTGAAAAGACAACCACATTTTGAAGATGGTTAAAAGATAAAAGTGACACATATATAATCACATTTTAAGTTAGCTAATGGTAGCAAACATTAGCTAACTAGCTAAGTAACGACTGTGGTAAATGAGTCAGCTAGTTAGCTAGTGTTTTGCTAACATTTCAGATGTAACTAGCTAGTGAACAACTGATGTAACATTAGTGTTTGCAGAGCAAACTAGCTACTTTACAGTTGCCATAGAATAGCTGGCTAGTTATCTAGTGTTTAGCTGGCTAGCTAACCTAAAGTGTGAATATAAATATGACACTTACACATTTAAACCATCTTCAAAATGGGATTGTCTTTTCAACATAGACTAGCTTAGCACATAGCATATCTAGCTATCTGGCTTGCTCAAATGTTATTGGAGCACAAAGCAGAAAGGGCCAGATAGGGTCAATTACCCTTGGTTCACTTTCAGATGAAGTCTCAAATTTTTTAAGATAGAAAAAAATCATATTTCCCCTAAATGTGGCCACTGTGGCTCTTGATAATGCTAATGTGACTCACCACCTCCGTTGTAGAGATTCTGGGAAAGTGTATCCAGAAGAGAAGGTGGGTTCTTCCCATACAGTATGGAGAGCTGCCTGTTTTGGTCCAGCCTGCCTCAGTCTTTTCTTACAGTTGATTTTGGGGAGGTGGATCATGAGTCTGCAGTACGACAATGTCGATCAGGCCTTTAACTTACTCAGCTGGGATCAGTCGCCAGACTTACTCAGTTCATTTCAATTTCAATTTCCAAGGGGCATTATCAACGGGTGCAGTTCATAATGCCTCTGGACACAGTTGGATAGATCTACAACCAACATCAATCCTCAGCTCTAGTCAAAGTGTTGGATGGACCAACATGACAAACGTGAATTTGCTTCACCTGTGTAACTAATTGAAACAATCTGTATTGTTAGACAGCGTGGTTGGGACGTGAAGGTGAAATACCTGTCTTTGGAGATGGCAACAACATCGTTCCCACTGTTCACATCAATGACCTGGCAAGGTTGGACACACACATGCACATCAATTTTTTGTTAATACTACCTTGAACAATTATTAATGTGAGGATATACAGTGCCTTGCAAAAGTATTCACCCCCCTTTGCTTTTTACCTATTTTGTTACAGCCTTTAGTTCAATGTTTTTTTAATCTGAATTTTATGTGATGGATCAGAACACAATAGTCTAGGTTGGTGAAGTGAAACGAGAAAAATATATACATAAAACTATTTTTTAGAAATAAAAACTGAAAATTGGCATGTGCATATGTATTCGCCCCCTTTGTTATGAAGCCCATAAAAAGCTCTGGTGCAACCAATTACCTCCAAAAGTCACATAATTAGTGAAATATGAGAAAAGTGCCACATGATCTGTTAGTACATAATACACACCTTTTTTGAAAGGCCCCAGAGGCTGCAACACCTAAGCAAGAGGCACCACTAACCAAACACTGCCATGAAGACCAAGTAAGGGACAATGTTGTTGTCAGGGTTGGGTTATAAAAAAAATATCCAAATCTTTGATGATCCCCAGGAGCACCATCAAATCTATCATAACCAAATGGAAAGAACATGGGACAACAGCAAACCTGCCAAGAGACGGCCGCCCACCAAAACTCATGGACCGGGCAAGGAAGGCATTAATCAGAGACCTAAGGTAACCCTGGATGAGCTGCAGAGTTCCACAGCAGAGACTGGAGTATCTGTACATGGGACGACAATAAGCCGTATGCTCCATAGAGTTGGGCTTTATGGCAGAGTGGCCAGAAGAAAGCCATTACCTGGCAAAAATGGCACGTTTTGATTTTGCGAAAAGGCATGTGGGAGACTCCCAAAATGTATGGAGGAAGGTGCTCTGGTCTGATGAGACTAAAATTGAACTTTTTAGTCCAGGGAAAGATGGATGGTGCTAAATGCAGGGATATTCTTGAGGAAAACCTGTACCACTCTGTTCGTGATTTGCGGCTAGGACGGAGGTTCACCTTCCAGCAGGACCGTGACCCCAAACACACTGCTAAAGCAACACTTGAGTGGTTTAAGGGGAAACATGTAAATGTGTTGGAATGGCCTAGTCAAATCCCAGACCTCAATCCAATAGAAAATCTGTGGTCAGATTTAAAGATTGCTGTTCACAAGCGCAAACCATCCAACTTGAAGGAGCTGGAGCAGTTTTGCAAGGAGGAATGGGCAAAAATCCCAGTGGTAAGATGTGGCAAGCTCCTAGAGACTTATCCAAAGCGACTTGGAGCTGTGATTGCCGCAAAAGGTGGCTCTACAAAGTATTGACTTCAGGGGGGTGAATAGTTATGCACATTGACTTTTTCTGTTGTTTTGTCCTATTTGTTGTTTGCTTAACAATAAAAAAACAACAAACATCTTCAAAGTTGTGGGCATGTTCTATAAATTAAATGATGCAAATCCTCAAACAATACATGTTAATTCCAGGTTGTGAGGCAACAAAACACGAAAAATGCCAAGGGGGGTGAATACTTTTGCAAGGCACTGTAGATTGCACCGAACCCTGCTTTCCAAAAGGCTTTAAGAAATGTGTTCTACATTGATAGAAATTAGACGTAAGGTAACATTTATATGCCTTAAACAATATTTCTTTGTGTTAAAGTGTGATTCAGAACGTGATTGAACAACGGCCCAAGCCGTATTACCTGCTAGCTGTGGACTATTCTAACAATACCATGGGGGACATTGTGAAGGTGTGTGTAGCAACTGATCAAGAAATCTTTTGTTAAATATTTGAGCCATGTCCCTGTGAATGGACTGGAAAAAAAGCCTGTTAAAATGACACTGTTAAAAACAAACATTCAAATGTTAGAGTTGCTGATCAATTTAGAACTTTATTATTTAACACAGACAAAACAACGCAGGTTTTGCAATTAGGTTGTATTACCTTTAGTGACACAGTTGTACATGTTCTCTTGGTATTTATATTATATATGTTTTCATATGGATGATGATATAATAATTCATGAACCGTTTCTCCGCCAAGAAAATTTCCTCTGCACTTGGACCAGGGAAGATCCAGAAAAAGCCAGTGGAGGAAGCCTTCCTCACAAAGGACTTGAGTGTATGTTGTACCTGTATAAATGTATTTATTTTATTCATGTGTTTATGCAGAAAACATTGTAACAGTACAATAACATACACACTGCAGTGCTCCGGGGAGCTTGTTTTTAAATCTGGGCTAATACTGAATTATTAACAATCATGCTATAGTATTGCTACTGAACTGATTTCTTACTAGCTAAACATTTTACAAAGCCTCAGAGTAAGTGCAACAGAAATACACTCTTTTTTTTTTTTTTTTTCTTTCTGAGATGACGAGATTAATCAATCTCATGTCTGCATGTTCAGTGCGAAGCTGGATGTGGTTGTAGTTCAGGATTAAGACTTGAAGCAAGGGGAAACAAACGGTTAGCGCTGTCGCCTCACAGCAGGAACGTCCTGGGCCCTGGCTGGGGCCTTTCTGTTTGGAGTTTGCATGTTCCCCTCTCTGAGACCCATATCCCAAACCAGAAGACAGAAAGTCGGCCATTTTAAATTTAGTGTTAATTTTAGCCGATTTGCACACGTACGACAAACAAACTCTTCCTAGGGAATTCATTGTATCGACTTCAGATGTGATCAGTGCAATCTAAAAGTTGTGCTATTGTGACTGTGCATCAAATGACCGTGGCATTGGCATTTCATTTCTATGTTTTGCCATGAAACAGGAAGTCCTCATACTTCAGTGTACTTTGTCCAATCTTAGGTTTTGGTCGTAGTCGTAGCACCACCCATGAGAAACAGGAAGTAAACCTCGTATAGCAATAATCATCAGATTTTTGTGGAATTTTCCCTGTGTGGTCTACATATGATGCTGGTGCATAATGCAACTGCAGCACACCCCGACGCGTGTTCATCACTGTTTTCAGCTTTAATTTGTGTACAGATTTTACAAATGAGATACAATGTGATACTCGGTGAGCCTTCGAGGTATTGGTAGTTATATTTTTCAACTTTGGACGGAGCCATGCTAGCTGTCTCCCCCTGCTCCAGTCCTTACGCTAAGCAAGGCCAACCACATCCTGAGTTAGCTCTGTACATGAGATTGATATCCATGTTCTCATCTCACTCAGAAAAAAATAGTGAATAGGCTTTAAGATGTGTTGACATGTTATTTCCCCTTGACAGGTAATGGAAATTGATTCCCTGCTGGTTAACCTTCGCATGGAGGGGGTCTATCTCAAGGAACTGCTCTCTATCAACTGGGTGTGTGAGTCTGGTCTGGTGGACAACATAGAGCTGGTGGTAGAGGAATACCGGCAGACCAGGGGACTGCTGGTACGTGCTACAGCAGAAAGCAGAACCTGTCCAAAGAATACACTAGTGTTAGAAGAACTATGAACTGTTTAAATCATGAAATGGCAAACGATATTAAAATTTCATAGACGTAGGGTTGCTACTTTCCCAGATAAGTTGTACAAGATCATCCATGTAAGTGTGTTTCCTTCAGCCAATCCGTCTGTGTGTACTGGGTCCTCCTGCGGTAGGAAAGACCACAGTGTCCAAACAGATCTGTGAACACTACAAACTCCATCACATCACACTGAAGGAGACCATCTCTGAAACCATCTTAAAACTGGTGAGCTTCTCCTAAGGCATACAGATACACATGCACTATTGTTAAGAATATGACATACAGATATTTATTTACTTGTGATTTTATTCCCTTATAATTCCATTTTGATCTCCATTTCCAGGAAGATACTGTGAAGAATGCTGGTCCAGATGCAGAGAATGAGGACACTGCAGCAGAGGCCCATGAGCTGCTGAACAGTCTGAAGGACAGTATGGAGCAGAATGGAGGTACACACTGTGACCAGTGTTTACCTCTCCGGGTCACTACAGCATTTAATCCCCGTCCTTAATCTTACATAACGTTGGAAGGAAAATACCACGTAACTGGATGTCATTTTTAAACTTTTTGTCTGTTAGGTCTTTTGGATGAGCAGCTGTTGGTAAAGGTGGTGAGGGATAAGCTGATGTCTAACCCATGCAGAAACCAGGGTTTCGTCCTGGACAGCTTCCCCAAAACATATGAACAAGCTAAAGAGCTCTTCTACTGTGAGAGACTGACACATACTACTGCACTCACTACACTCAGTATAACATGGATACATGCTATACGTACATACACATCTGTATTTTCTTTTATTTCTAGCTGAAGATCATGAATCAGAAGATGAACCATCCCTGATTTCTTCACACAGCAAGAGGATTATGCCAGGTCTGTCATTCATTTCCAAGGTTACCATGGTTAGCAGTGAGATTTAAGCATGCTTGTACACCTAAACGAAGAGCAAGTTGCAACAAAACTACCCCTAAAGATAATAATGTAAAGGCCTGAGCCTGTCAGTGATAAGTGTTGTAGTATTTGTAATGGTTTGCTTGTGTGTTCCACAGAGTTCGTGTTGTGCCTTGATGCGTCAGATGACTTCCTGAAGAATCGGGTGATGAACCTGCCTGAGAGGCTGGTAAAGGACCACAACTACGAGCAGGAACACTTCCTGCGACGACTGGCCAGATACAGAGAGAAAAACTTGGAAGATGAAACTGTCATCAGCTACTTTGATGAGCTGGACATCACTCCTATGTACCTGGGTAAACCATGAAGCATGACCAGGGCCGTCCATTAAGGGGGCAAAAGGGTAGCTTTCTGGGAGCCAGCTGCCAAGGGGGCCCATAGAGGCCAGCAATAATCATGTTCATCCTAAACATAAGCAATTATAACCAGTGTTGGGAGAGTAATGCATTACTTTAATTCCACTACAGTCGTGGTCAAAAGTTCTTTTTGTCAGATGTTACTATGGTATACTGAAGTATAATTACAAGTATTTCATAAGTGTCAAAGGCTTTTATTGACATCAACAATACGTTTATGCAAAGAGTCAGTACTGCAGTGTTGACCCTTCTTTGTCAAGACCTCTACAATTTGCCCTGCAATTCTTTGAATTCTGGGCCACATCCTGACTGATGGCAGCCCATTCTCGTATAATCAATGCTTGGAGTTTGTCAGAATTTGTGGGTTTTTGTTTGTCCACCCGCCTGTTGAGGATTGACCACAAGTTCTCACTGAGCCTATCACTGACAGCTGATATGTTCTTTATCAAACCTTACTGTGTTTCCTGTCATCCTCTCTTGCCAGAGATCACTAGTAGCAGTGAACCAGACTGCCTGCTGCTGATGCAGAAGATTTTTGACACAGTGGGCCAGCCCAGGAACTATGGCCCCAGCAGCCAGGAGGTGGAGGAGGAGCAGAGGAGGAAGGCTGAGGAGAGGATGAGGAGGGAGGCCCTGGAAGACGCCGAGCAGGAGAGGAAGGAGGCAGAGGAGGCCAGACTCAGGGTTGCACACTGGGAGGAGTGGGTAGGTGCTGGGAGGAAAGCTCCATTAGAGATAAGACTGGCTTCCAATCTGTGCAGTGTACTCAGTAAATCAAAGTGTGAACTAGTTGTAACATTTCACACATGCTTTAGCATTGTGTTGTACATTATGTTCCATATTATCCATGCTATACTTGTTTAGGCTGACAACACAAGATGCAAGCATCACATGCAGGTTAGGAAGGGTGTCACAGAAAAAAAACCTCAAAGATTCACTTTACCACTTAGCTTTTACCGAAGTGTTCAACCGCCTCCTACAGTCTCACTGGATGGAGTTTGCTCTGTTGTCCGACAACGCAACAAGAAAAATGTTTTATGTGCCTTTTGCTTGATCCACTGTGTGTCTAACCAAGTCTCGCTCAAGGCGAAGTCACGTTCTGAAATCTTGGATGGATGGTTGCAGGAAGACAACAGTAGAAACATGAGCGAGTGTGGTGTGTGCAGTACATACTGGACCTTTAAGACGCTGTCCTAAACCAGCATTATCCTTTAAGTGTTAAAGGCTGAGAGAAAAAAAGGTTTTAAACTATGTTTTATATCTTTGTATATTATGTTTGATGCAGTGTGTGTGTGTCAGACTAAGGGTTTGGAGGATGTGAGGCGGCAGGAGGAGGAGCTGCTGGAGGCCCAGTCGGTCCCTTTGAGGAGCTACCTGATCGAGCATGTCATGCCCACTCTGACCCAGGGCCTAATGGAATGCTGCACAGCCCGACCACAGGACCCCGTGGACTTCCTGGTATTGCACTCAGCATTAAGTCACTCTTTGCATCCGACTTCACCAGATTCTGATTATCTCTTTTGGTTTGTCTCATTCCAGGCGGAGTACTTGTTGAAGAAGAACCCCTTAAACCACTGAAAGGTGGTTGCACCAACACATGATGCAAACTGAAATAAAACCCATTTTTTTCCTTAGCTCTTCAATATATTAAAGACTGAAGTCAATTACATGCAGGATTCCTATTAGTAGAAAACCTCCTGGAGTCTTTTAGACTTGTCACAGTATTTCAGCCATCACATGCCAAGTGTCCCTCGGTTCATGCTGGGATTTTGATTAGGTCTGATTTGTAAGTGGCCCATTCTCCTGCCCCTGTTGTATTTACACACAGCTTTGTTTGGGCTCTTGTGTGCCGGCCATTACTTAAAAGCACCCTAAAAAAGCGTATGAAAGTGCATATGAAGCCAAAAGCTAATTAGGAAGTTAATTTGTGTAATGAACTTGGTAAACTCCAAAGTAGGCATTCTCGGGTCATAATTGCTTTGATTTGGCTTCCGATATCCAGGAAGGATAAATGTTACAAATGGCAGCTCATTTGCGTCTCTCTCATGTTGCCACTCGCAACTCCAAAGTGTACATAATTGGTTGCGACGGAACACCAAATTATTTCATTGTACATACTTAATTACCACATGGGGAAATTAGTTGAGTTTATTTGGGAAACATTGTGACGCAAGCTGCTGCAAGACAATTTGACTGCACCATCTGTGAGTAGCAGGTACAAACACAACACGGACAGTTCCTGAAAGTGAATCACACAACTGTGTTCCCTTTCACTCCTGTAGCTCGCTTCATTTGGACCGAACCAATGAAAGAAATGATGCACTGTTCCCTTTTAGTTCTGGTCTGTTTCCTGTTCACAATGACTTTTTACATGCAAAACAAGAGGAGTCAAATGGACTGATAGTTAACTCTGATTGGACATTTTTAATGACTCTTATCCCTTATCATCAGCTCTACATGGATCTGTGGAGGAAAATCAAATTCCTCCTTTACTGAATCCTGTGCAGTAGTACTCTCCAATGTACTATAAGGAGTTTTAACTGGTTATGAAACAGTCTCAGTTTAATACTGATGCCTCTATACGACCTACATAAATAAACCATCAGACTGGCTATTTCTATGTAGTTCTGCTTACTACCTTCCACCGTGATCACTTCTCATTTCCCTGCTCTATATGCAAATAAACACAAAAGAGATGTACCCTACTCAAAATGCTGTCAGTCAATGTCCATCATTACTGTCCTTTTGGTCTCATGTTTTACCTGCGCTGTCAGCACCCCTGCAGAAGAGATTCTCCGTGGTGGCTGTGGGATTTTGTATCTGAACTACATAGGCAGTAAAAGTGTGCATCCTGCTCACACAACAAGACATCTCAGCTCTAAACTTCGCAAATGCTTTCATTTAAATTCCAAAGTGGTCAATTTATTCAACATTGGAGAAAAATGCCAAACAATAAATAGAAATCTACGCAGCTGTAAAATTTCTCCTCCCGTTATTCATCCGACAACTCCTCAAATGTATGTGTTGAGCCTATGGGGGGACAGGAACCACCGGACTAAACTAGCTGATTGTATATAAAGTAGTTCAGACTAGCTCCACCTGGAGCAGCTACAACAGTAGGATTCTATGTATGCATTAAAGGACCAGTGTGAAGGATTTAGTGGCATCTAGAAGCATAGTTGCTGATTACAACCCCCTCGCCCCACCCTCCCCTTCCAAAGCGTGTCAGAGAGACTACGGTGGCTGCAAAAAAAAAATGCCAAAAGCCCTATCTACAGCCAGTATTTGGTTTCTCCGTTCTGGACTCCTGTAGAGACACGGGAAATCTGTAGATAAAAATGGCTCATTGTAAGGTAACAAAAACCCAACAATTCTTATTTTCAGGTGATCATACACTAATGAAATCATACCAATAAGGGCTGCATAGCCCACTGGTGCTCTTATTCAAATTGTGATAATGCCACAATCAAACAAATGTTATAAACATCAAAATGTCCAATTACTAAAGCTGCAGTAGGTAACTTTTTGTCATATTTGCTAAAACTCACTAAAACAGTAATACATGTCACAGATTATCTGTTGCATGTCTCACTACTGTCAGCATATAGTGGAAGTTTCAGCAAATATGAAAAAAAATATGTTTATAAAAATGACCTACTGCAGCTTTAAAGCTGAACCAAACTACCAGATAGAAAAAAACACTGACTGGCTTTGTCTGTGTGATTTAAAGTAAATGTACTGAAACCTGGAAACACATTGGTCCTTTTAAATCTAGGTTTCAAAAGCAAAACTCCTCAAGACAGTGACAAGACATGTAATATATTTCTAGGCCTGTTTGTTAGTGAAATAATGGCTCCAGGTATAATACTGAAGTGTGTAACATTTGAAGCACTAGGTAGAAAATGCTTACTGCAAATCATTTGAAATGTGTCAAATAAATGGATAGTCCAAAAAGCAACACAAATGTTGGTCAGTGCTGTAAAACTGTTTTCTAAGCAGAAGTCCAAAACTTGTTTTCAGGTTTATGAGCAGAATGCTGGAAGTCAAAGATGACCTTTGACCCGTAGGTTAAGCTTCAGCAGCTCCTGTGTGGGTTGCACGTGAAGTGTAGTTTGAGTTCATTTATAGAGCAGAAGCAGCGTTTCCTCAGTGTCTTACTACCAGTGTTGTACCACTAGATGGCAGTCTTAGATCATCTATTGGCTGTCAGGAGTCAGTCGCTCTCGCTGAGAAGGTGATGATTGTGGGTTTTTATTCTGTTGATGATCTATGATTGAATATTTTTATTTATTTTTCTTAAATGTACATTTTGGCATGCAGCAAACATCCAAACTGATCTGTGGACAGTTGTGGATGAATAAACGGAGAATAAAACTTGGCTATATCACATTGAATTTGAAAAAGTTTCTGTTGCTCTTTGTCTATTTAGTCATGATGGGTATCACTGCCCAGTATTTATGCTTATACCATACATTATTCCAAGGAAGCATAAAATGAAGGACTTAAGACTGAAGTCTTGAGCTGCAGGAAGTGAACACCCTACCAAAAAGTGTCACGACACAAACTGACCACAGCACTGTGTGACATCAACTGGTGACAAAGTAACTGCACATACAGTATTAGCAGACAAAAATGTCTTCTCCCTTAAATACCCCATTCAGACATATATTAATACATGGTATATGCAAGTAGTCAGCTTGGAACAATAATGTGTGTTTGATATATGATTTCCACATTCAAATCTTTAAAAAGTGATCTACTCTTCTACCTCATTAAATATTCCAGAATGTTATATTACATGTGAATATGCAAATGTTCATTTCAAGTTTTCCTGCTGGACAAAAGATTTCTCCTACTTCACTGTAAAGTCCATTCTCAGTGTCCAGTCCACTTGTATATGTTGCATACTGGACCAATTTCAATCACATCACATGATCTTCATCATTAGCAGTTTGATCATATGTCTCTCCTACAGCTGTTCAAATTTCCATTTTTTCTGAGCAAAAGCTAAGGTTGAAAAATAACTTTTCTATGATTGGTTTTAATTATGGGATGTGTAGGACTCAGGAGATAGTCACTGTAGCATCAGTTTGGACCATTCTGATTTAAAAATTGTGAGCCCCCAATATACTAACCTGCCGAATAACCCATTGAAATAGTTGAATTTTATGCATATTTACTTTAAAAAAAAAAAAACCCACAGTGTCCGTGTGGACACCCACGTGAGCTTGGACTTTATGACCGTGTGGACTGGAAGTATGGACCGTGCATTCAGACTCCATGTGTGAAAATCTGTCAACACAGCCACCCGGGGCGAAATAAAACATAAACATCTACAACAGTAAAATTCCACATACACATTAATACAGCAGTCATTTTAATCCAAAAACATCAGATATAATAGTACAGTGACAGGGACCATTTTACTGTACAAAGACTTCTTTAAGTGCTCATTCAAATCACATTTTTAGCACTAAACATTACATTCACTAGCTATACTCCTTAACAATAGTTACTTTACGGGACTTAAGTTGAATATGGGATTGTTTGATATTGTTATTTATTACTGAACTGACTTATTGCCAGTGACAGCAACAAATCCCATGCAGTGAGAACCTTTGACATTTATGTATATATGTTCCATCATTCCTAATACAAGCCATCAGCTGCAGTAAGCCATATATGTCTGAGTGTGTGGCAGCATCTGGACTGAATCCACTCTCACTGATGCTGGTCACTGTTTCCTAACACCCCTTAATCCATGGAGGGATGACACGCGCAAACACACACACACACACACACACACACACACACACACACACACACACACACACACACACAAGAATCAAGCTGACACACATGCATGCTCACACATACAGACCTCACAAACAAACATTGACAACACACACCTACACAGACTTAAAACTACAAATCCATACCCAACTAGATAAACACACACTTATAGGAGACAGACAGAATGACACACACCCAACTGCTGGTTTAAGTGATCAGGGGACACAAGCACATACACACACAAGCACACACACACACTTCCCCTAAAACCCTGCCACCAGCCTCGTTCTGAGTACTCAGAGAGGGAAAATGTGTTTTGTTGCTTAGGAACAGTTTGCCTTGCATCTCTGCGGGGGGTCTTCTTTTGAATATCATTATGTCCCCCTCGATTGGGGAGGACGACACATTTTTCTTTTCTGCCAATATTTATCTTGGGCTCCACTCGCTCTCCGGAGGCCCACAAAAACGTTTTCATTGATTAAAGGCGGTTGAAGGCAGATTCCGCCGCCAGACGCCTCACCTCTTTTAATGTAAATTTATCAAAACGGCTGCATGGTGCCATGGCAGGTGTCAAGGTTAGGAGCAGCAGCGCTTTTCTTTTCTTTAGGTAGCAGCCTGAGGAGGGGAAGAGGATGGATATTAGGAAGAAATTAATGTTTGTTTGTTTGAGAGCCTTCACCTGAAAATACCTTGCTGCTACAATACAGAGCTGGACAGAGTCATACAGTCAGGCAGATAAACCAAAACTGGGGCCTTGGGCCATGAGCCAAAACCACCATCTCTCTGTGGATTTTCTATGCACCCTGTCATCTTAGTGTAACTTCTGCACAAGTATCTTTTATCTGTGATTTCTAAATTGATTTTGGAATTTTATCCGCTTAATAATGGCATAATGTAAGTCACACTGATTCTTAAAATATGGACAGTATTATGTCTGTGTTTGGATTGATTTGACTGAGTTATGACAGGAACAAATAGCGTAAGTACTTTAATCTCCTCCATGAACTGTCTTTTTTTAATAACTTTATTGAAACGAGTATACAACATGTATACAAGTAACAACTTGTGCATACAGATTGAGTCTATAGTCTAAGAAACTGGACGGTAACAAAATATAGTTACTAAGTACCAAAATAACTGGCCAGTAAGTACAAAAGTTGTTACTTACATGGAAACCAAGAAGAGCCAAGAAAGATAGAAAGACATTTTAGGTTGGTGGCTTGAAGATAGTTGATTGTTGAGACGCATACCAATGCTGGGAATGCTGGGCTGCTTGGCTCTGATTGGCTGTTTTCATTCAGGCCTCGTAGATTCTTGCAAATGCACTCGGAGGAGCCAAAGCTGTCTTATGTAATACTGTCAGGATATAGTGAAAGTTTCAACAAATATGACAAAAAGTTATTTTTATAAAAGTTACCTTCTTCAGCTTTAATAGTAAATACTAAATTATTACTTACTAGTATATGTTTTGTTCACAAAAGGTAACAATTTAGTACCGGGAAAGGACATGGTACTTTTTATGAAACCATTTTAAGGTAGACTATGTATAGAGTACTTGGTATTTACAGGGACATACAAAAGTCTTTATTTTACAGTCCTAGTTCCAAACCATTTATGCAATTTTATGATTGATTCGTGAAAACAATACCTATTACACATCATCAAGGTATAACAGGATACTTTGTTATACAATACTTTTAACTTGAACTCACCAAGGAAGAACAATGAAACTGGCATGGTATTTCCATGTACATACTGTGGAATTTCCTAGTAAGTAATATGTGCCTGCCTATACTGGGTAATTAAGTACTTACTAACAGTGATGGGAATAACGGCGTTACTAACGGCGTTACTTTTTTCAGTAACGAGTAATCTAATTGATTACTCTTCCCATCTTAATAACGCCGTTACCGTTACTGCCATAAAATGCAGCGCATTACAATAATTTAAGCTGTTTTTTTTATCAGACCAACAAGATCTCTGAGCCGAGAGGCAAAGACTTTTTTTTACTGTTCTTCCTTGGTTAGTGGGCAGTGCACGAGACAAGCGCATAAATGCTGATGATTGGCTGAGGTTGAGTAAAATTTTATGGTAAGCCAATCAGAGGTAGAGTTGGGCGGGTGTTCGAAAGCACGCATAGTCCGACACACAACGAACAACACAAGTGAGTCAGTCAACGAGAGACAGGTATGGCGAGCCCAAACAATCCAAAAGTAGCCTTCTCTAAATGGACAGTATAGCCATTACTTTTCCCTCCAAGAAATTAAAGGAACGAATGTAATCTTGAAATGCACATTATGCTATTATTATTATTATGTTAGATTGAAAGCACCTCATATTGTTACACTGTTCTACTTTTTCGAGGAAGAAAATACTTGAAGTACAGTATATCTACCAATTGTCTGAAGTTTTTGTTTTGTTTTATTTGCACTACAAAGAGTGTATATGTTTGTTATTTATTTTTGGTATAGTGCTTAACAAGCATAATTGAATTTTGCCCAGTTGTGGCCTGTTGAGGGACAATAAATATCAAAAGTTCCAAAACATCTATTGTGTTACTTGTATCAATCCACTATATAAACATAATATCTACATACATGGCATTTGATTGGAGGCTAGTCTCACTTTGTCCCACAGCAACATTAAAATAGTTTAGACTTATGTACATTGTTTCTGTTAATAATGTATTGTATTAAGTGTCCATTTCATTATAATATTCAGATTTATCATAAACAATTGAACATGCACATGTATTTTAAGTTCTGTTAAAGAGGGGTGGAGGTGGGGTCACATTTGAGCATTTAAAAATGTACTTGAAAGTAATGCAATAGTTACTTTCTGAAGTAACTAGTTACTTTTATAATTTGTAACTGAGTAACTAATTTACTTTTTGTAAGAAGTAACTAATAACTGTAACTAATTACTTTTTAAAAGCCCAACAGTGCTTACTAACTATTAATTTATTTCTGAATAAGGATATTTTTACCATCTAGTTTCCTAGTACATTTACATGTATCTACTAGGTAATAACTTTGTACTTTCTAGCCAGTTCTTCTTCGAGAAACTTTCCTTATAACTTTGCACTTTTTGCGAGTTTCACAGGCCAAAACAGTTCTGTTCCCAGGCCATCAAATACAGGCACGAGCAGTGTTCAGTTAGTTGCAATTTCAAACTTCACCACTAGATGCCACTAAATCCTACACACTGGACCTGTAATTGTAAAGATTACAATAGTTATACATTTGAACAGCTTTTTTGTTTGTACATTCAGATATATAAGTGTATGGTTTGATATGGACAGTGAGTTGTGAACAGCTGATCTGTGAATATAAAATTTGGTCATATTCAATGAATCCAAACAATATAAAAGAAAAGATTCCAAAGTAAGGATAGAGTTATATTTGCCTTGTGTCTCTCCTTCTGCAGGCCCTCCTGGGGGAGGAGCGCTTCACAGTTTGATAAGATTGATATAGAAATAATAATATGAACACAAAATACACCTAAACAATTAAGTTATTCAAAAAAAATCTTAAAGGAGGCCCTCCTACACAGGAAACTGAGGACGTTTCTGGTATTGATGACTTCACAACTTCAAAAATCT